TCACTTGCCTCATTTCTCAAACTTTCCTTTTTCCTTAAGCCTCAAGTTTCTTTATGAGGTTCAAAATTGAATTCAAGCTCATTAACAATGCAACTCATGGAAGTATAAAATCAAGAACCGAAAAACTATGAATTAAAAGATGAAGAACAAAGATTCAAATTGTAATATGAAAGGAGTTTGGAAAATGCAAATAAAAACTAACATGATGGACACATTTTATTCCAAACTGATAGCAATAGGGAAAAACTCCATTGTTCACTTATTCAAGCCCTCATCAGTAGCAGTTCTAAGATCAACCTTGTTTGAGTGGAACTGTAAGCGCTGGTCCCTTCAATATTAAAGACTATCTAGGAGTTGATGAAACTTGATTGGTGAGAGTAACTGCAGCCACCTCTTGACCTTCCTCAAAATCCTTCTCGATCATATTGATTGTTTAACCATCGTGTGTTGGTAGGGAGTTTTTAGTGATATTCGGACCAACAAGTTCAGGTTCTGATGCAATCTGTAACTCATTTGCCTCTATCAAATCTTGAACACCATGCCTTAAAGCTAGACAATTTTCAAGGTCATGGCCAACACCTCCGTTGTGATATTCACATCTTGCTTGTGGATTGTACCACGTTGGAAATGGTGTTTTTACTGGAACCATAGGTATAGGAGTAACAAGACCAATTGCTACCAATTGTTGAAACACTTCAGTATATGACAAAGAAAGCTTGTCAAAATGTCATCTCACTTGTTGTGGATGATTGACCCCAGAGGCGTAAATGGGCCTTGGTTGGCTTGTAAAAGTCATTGATTGATGAGTTGAAGCTTGGAACTGACTGTCGAACTGCCCACGTGCTTGTTTATTTCTTCCATAAGCCTTATAAATTGACCTTATAGAGCCATTCTCATCTTCCTTCTTTTGATTCTGGCCAAGCTTCTTTGAACTAGAAGCCCCTGAACTATCATTTTGGTATTGTTCAAGGAGACTCTTCATTGCTTGATAATCCATGATAATTCTAGACTTGATTCCATCCTCCACTTGTTCTCCCACAATAACCAACTGGGCAAAAGTGCAATTCACACAAGTTATTAACTTCTCACAATAAGGTCCTTTGGTTGACTTGATGAATAAATTACTTAATTCATGATCAGTCAGTGGAGGTTGAACTCGATCAGCTAATCCACTCCATCTTTGAGCAAATTCCTTAAAGTTCTCACTTCGTTTCTTTTTTGCTTTTTGAAGATCCTCTCTATTAGGAGCTAGTGATGTATTGTATTCATATTGCTTCATGAAATTGTAAGTCAAATCATGCCAACTTTTGACCTTACTTTTGTCTAAAGTAGAGAACCAAGCATCTGCAGGACCTGTCAAACTGTCCTGAAAGTAATGTATCATTAACTTCTCATTATTAGCATAAGGAGCCATCTTCCTACAATACATTGTTAAGTGGGCATAAGGACAACCAATGCCATTGTACTTATCAAACTCAGGCAATTTAAACTTGTGGGGTAGTTGAATGTTTGGGAAAAAGCACAAAGATGAGATGTCAACTGATTTATTGGTTTGGACACCTTGCATCGATTTTAGTGTTTCCTCCATCAACTGCACCTTCGCTTTAATTGCCTTGTCTTCATCCTCTGTGATTAACTTGACAACTTGAGTCTCTTCTTGATCATTAGACTGAACTGTAGCAACACCAG